ACGGTGAAAAATGAACGGATTGAATTGATTTTTTTATCATATCTCAGGAATGTCATTGGGCGGGTCTGATGAAAATTTCAAGCCTTAAGTCGTAAAACGCTGAAATTTTAAAATCCGAGCACGCTAATTAATTTTCCCAGAAAAGCGTTTTTTTCCTTGTTCTATTATATAATAAGATATAATAGGACGCGTACATGTGTATTATTAGCAAACAGAAAAATCGTCATTTTCCGTTAAAATTTGATGAATTTCAAACGCTCGTAGCGGCCAGAGTTTTTGTCGGATCTGGGATTTTCCGATTTTTGGCGCTTCCTCGACATGTACAGAACGCCGTGGTATGATTGCGAATCGTAAAAAAAATCGTTTTCATGTCGTAAAGTGTCGCAAGAATTTCGGGCGGCGCGCCCTGGCGTCTCGAGCGCATGAAAAAAAAAAAGCTCGTAAAACGGTGAAAAATGAACGAATTGAATTGATTTTTTTATCATATCTCAGGAATGTCATTGGGCGGGTCTGATGAAAATTTCAAACCTTAAGTCATAAAACGCTGGCGTCAGCGAGCATTTTTCTCGAAAACGGTCGAAATTTTAAAACGCTCGCGGGCAAGCGGCAAACATTTTCAGACCTTCGCCAATAATTTTCCCGGATTTTGGTGACCGAGTACTTTCGTTGAAAAAAAATTTTTTGAAAATCCGAGCACGCTAAGTAATTTTCCCAGAAAAGCGTTTTTTTCCTTGTTCTATTATATAATAAGATTTATTTCCACAACAAGGAAAATAAAACATTATTATTTAATGAACGAATTAAATTAAATTAAAAGTATATCAAAACAAAATTCACTTTAAAATTTCTAAGTGTCATTTAGTTTTAAAGAAAAATATTCAAATTAAGTCCAAATTAATTAAAAAATCTACTAAGTTCCGGAGAGTGAAATCTTGAGTAGTGTCGTAGATTTTGTGTATTTTAAAATCGCCAAAAGAACTGGTTTAGACGTGGAAAAATGGCTTTTTATAGTCTGAAGGAGGTAGCCCAGCGATTCCTACCGTGATCCTAAAAGCTGAGGCTTTCTATTCTAACTGGATAATTATAATGAGTGTACTGCGTGTAGGCGTTACTTAATAATCTCTATAAGAAGTAGATTTTATAGCATAATTAATGGGTTATTTTGTATTTTAAATAAGAGAACCCTGTTTTGATGATCAGGTAGAATCATAATATGTGACATATATGTACAAATGATAACTTCATAATATATGTTAATATTATAAGAAATTATATAATATTACAATTAGCATTAAACAAATCACAATGTATAATGCGTATTACATAAAAATTTATTCGCTAATATTATCCTTTATACTCGCAATACTTTATTACTTAATTATGGAATCAATATTAAAATAATTGTGCTTTTTTATAGATAAATAATTTATTCATTTTCATGAGTATATAATATTTGCATTAAATTACTTATTAATGAAAATTCATTAAAATAAATACAGCATTTCACTATGATATGAACTAGTAAAATTAGCTACTTTAATCTAAATTTGATTTTATTTTATGAAAATTATTAATGCTACAATTATCACTATCGTAATATTATTAAGTACAACATATAATAAACTAAACAAATTATACTTAGAATTATTCATTGTCTATACACAAAAGAAATTATATTTTAAACAATTTTTTTTTGCTTTGTACGGAAATAGATTTAATCCTAGTTGGGTATTTTTGTAATTTGTGGTCATTAACACTGTATCATCAGGTTTGCAATCAGAATTAATATCCCATTCCCAGTACTGATCATTGTCTAAAACAGCATAATTTAATTATGTTTTCATTAATTCTCGACAATTTAAGAATTGTTTTCTTTGTGTTTTGTAGTGTTTATGATTATTATTATCAAACATTTTCTCCATGACAATGTCCACACAGTTAAGAGGCAGAGTAGAAATATTATACTGTTTAAATACATCATAAATATTATCAAAGAGAAGTCTAAAATTTATTACAAAAGTGATAATTTTAGGAATATTTGGTTTAATATTAAACAAACTAAATTTTTCTATATAATCTACGTTATTCATCAATACTAAAACTCTATCGCAAATTTCAATTTGAAACAAAAAAAATCTGTCTACAAATGTTAAGCCAACGCTTTCGATAACATTCAGATAGTGAGTATAACATTGTATAATATTAGTATTGTTCTTAAGACATGGTCGAATAATTTCTCCTAATTTTTTACCAACAGTACCATTAATAGGTACAGGAACTTCTAATTCATTTTTTCGCGTCCATGTCCAAGGTTTTTTACATTCCCTTGGGTTGAATAATTCAGCCGTCACAACATCGGCATCATCTAATATAGTATTTTCGTTGTAAGGCATAGGACAACGAGCTATATCTTTACCTGTGTAATAATCTTGTTTTTGTAATTTTAACTGTATAAATGCAGGATATTCTCTGATGAGTTTATTCAAATCGTCAATAGTTATAGATGTTTCATTTTCAATATTCTGTTTAAATTCGTCATTTGTATAAACAGTTATAATATTAAAAATTATTATTTTTAGTAAAACAATAGATATTTTACTATAATAGTTCATTTTTACCTGTTTCAGTAAAATTATTCAAACACTAGTTAACCAATTAAAAATTATAAAATAAAAGAAAAACAGAAAATGGATCAAGAAAAAATTAAAATAATCAATTTTTGTAAGATTTTTGATGAGATTTGTTTACTTCACTTTTTAAAACTGATAAATTTTTTTTGAAAATTAAAAATGTATAATTCTTAATTATTCAAATATTTGTTTAAAAATAATGTTCAATTTTTGAGACATATTTAAGTCGTAATTGTTGTATACTAAACCTTATGAAATCGTGTAAATACTAGTTTACGCACTATTTATATATATATTTATGTAGTCAAGAAAAAAATTTGTTTGGTAAATTATCATATTAAAAGATTTTTAAAAAATAATTGATATGAAATAAGTTTGTGATAATGTGAAGGTTCTTAAGTATATACTTGCCTAAATTTTATCTTATGGTTCATTTGATGATAAATAAATTAAATAATTAAGTGTAATTTTCATATAGTATAAACAACTGTTAAAATTTTTTTATATATACAGAGTGATTTTTTTATCATAACCCACTCAATTACTTGCAGAATAATAATAATTTAAACATTTTTTTTTTTATTTATCTTTAGTTACACATTATTCTTGAATTTTTAACTATGTTATACTTTTTAAGTTCANTTTTTTTTTTATTATCTTTAGTTACACATTATTCTTGAATTTTTAACTATGTTATACTTTTTAAGTTCATCCCTTATGCCTTGGAGGGGGGTCAACTTTGTTTTTTTAAATGGTAACACATATTTTTAATTTAATAAAATGTTTGAGTTTTTAATTTAATAGTAAATGGCATTTGAATTTTTAATATAACTTTATTAGCTTATTAGATATAAACATTTAAAGTTTCAAAATTTTGAGTTAATATACATGTATAATACACATGGGATTGTAAATACAGGTAGCTAATTGGATTTTTATGACATTGCTGTCTCAGTCACGGATTGTTTATTATCAATTATGATTATCAATAGATATACTTTCTGTATTGTCAGTTAGTGTATTTATAAACTCATAACAATGTGCCTTACTACAATTGATAATAACAATGCTGTGTACCTGCTAATATCGATGTTATAAAAAACCAATTAGCTACCTGTATTTGTAATCCCTTGTGTATTATACCTGTATATTAATTCAAAAATTTGAAACTTTAAATGATTATATCTAATAAACGAATTAAGTTATATTAAAAATTCAAATGCCATTTACTATTAAATTAAAAACTCAAACATTTTATTAAATTAAAAATATGTGTTACGATTTAAATAAACAAAGTTGACCCCTTCCAAGGCATAAGGGATGAACTTAAAAAGTATTAAATAGTTAAAAATTCAAGAATAATGTGTAATTAAAGATAATGAAAAAAAAAATGTCTAAATTATTATTATTCTGCAAGTAATTGAGTGGGTTATGATAAAAAAATCACCTGTATATAAAATATATAAAGTTATATATAGCAATAATTTTTTTAATTGTTTGTATTAGTTCCATGTTTCTTTCAATTTTTTAGTCATAGAATTTATTTTATGTTATTTTTTTATACCTTAAATGTATCAACCTGGCTTATTAAATAAATAATGATTTTCCAGCCGTAGGCTTCCTCACACCTAAATAATAATATGTCAACTTCCGAAATACTGATACAAAAAATGTTCTAGACCAGTTATTTGCTTATTACATCATTATCTATTAAATAAATTAGTTAATTATGTGTGTTACCATTTGAAAGATTAAATATGTCACCCTTATAAGATATATGGGATGAACATAAAAAATAGTTTACGATTAAGAAATTGGAAATAAAATGTTTAGGAAACTAAAAAAAATTGTCAATGTTATTTTAATTTTTCGATTAATTAAGTGGTCCATTAAAAATAAATCACTCTTTACACAGTAATCAAGTTTTTTATGACAAAATAAAATTTTTACAAATTTAATCATTAGAGATTTTCTGTAAAACCATATCAAATAACGTAAAAGTTATCTTGCTAAATTTAATTTCTTATAGATACATAATCAAGTTTCTAAACGATAAAAATGTCAGCTTTTGTACATTTCAACTCAATGACCACTAGTCCATTAGAGTATGTAAAAAAAACTAGGAAACTATAGTTTTCTAGCTTACAATATAACAAATCTTTACAATCTATCTAGAACACCGTTACCTATGTTTTTTGTTGACTTAAAGTCTGCTTTGAAGAATAATGACGTATTTGACACAATTTTTTTTTGCTTTATTTAAGTGAAAACTCCCATACTATAAAACAACCCCCTCAATGTATGACCTGACAAGAAGATTGCAATCGTATTGTAAAGGCA